AAAATTAAATTAAATTAAATCAAAATAAAATAAGATAAATAATAAAATAAAATAAAATAAAATAAAAAAATGTATTTAGGAAAGATCAGATCATTTTAAAGGAGTTTCTCACCTGGTAGCTACAGCAACATAATCATCATCATGTAAACAACAGGCAACCTGAGAAATTGCACCTTCCTGTAACACAAAAGGAAAAATATTAGGCGTCTCAAAAATGTTCATTTTTTACTTTTAAATCTCAAGATTTACATTCCCCTTTTACTCCAAATGATTATTCATAATACAGAAATTCAAATTTACGAAAGATAGTCCAAATGGTATGACAGGACTACCCTTAATCTTACCCTGTGTGAAAGAAAAAGCCTGTGCTTCCAGCCTTCTTTCTGAATGAGATTGAGTCCTCCTCCTGAACTGCCCAAAGCCAACCATTTCCGAGACACAGCTATGCTCGTGCACTAAAAACATTTAAACAGACAAGATCCTCATAGTCGCATAACCAAATTAACTACCGGAAATAAATACGAAGGATCTGTGTAGCAGGTTCCTCCCCCAACCCTACCCCCTGCCCAGTTGGCCACCACATAATGGCACTCACCCTTTCATTCTAGTATAGTGAAACATACAGAACATTTTGGTTTTAAATGTTTAATTGAATCTCAAAATGACTGAATAGGCTCAACTGTACAAATGAGTAATTTTCTCTTAGCAAAATCCAGTTATCAGACCATTCATCTTTTGCATAATTTGGCTAGGTCATTCCAATGTTGACCACAAGGATGAAAGATCAAGTAAGTCTCCAGGCGATAAAGCAATGCTTTAACCATTTACTCACTTGAATCATTTCTAGTCTACATAATTGGCACACAAACTACCCACAGCTTTTAGAACAAGTAGGACTGTGGAGGACACAGATGCAGGTCAATTATGTCTCCCCCAACCACGCTCAGCTTGCTGATTCCTTTCCTTATCTACCAAAAAAAAACAGGGCTGGGCCCAATAATATTCTGTGGCAAAATTTGTTGCTTGGCTGATGAACAGACACTCCCAACACTCTCAACCTTGCTTTCCACCACAGAAGCTGGAAAATCTAAATATTCATTTACCCAGTCTCTCTCTCCTTTTTTAAGATTTTATTTATTTATTTGACAGAGAGAGAGAGAGCACAAGCAGGGGAAGCAGCAGGCAGAGGGAGAGGGAGAAGCAGGCTCCCCGCTGAGCAGGGAGCTTGACATGGGGCTCTGATCCCAGGACCCTGAGATCACGACCTGAGCCGAAGGCAGATGCTTAACTGACTGAGCCACCCAGGTGCCCCATTACCCATTTTCTCCTGAAGCTAGGGGGGAGCTATGTGACTAACATCCAGCTAATAATAAGCCTGCTAGAGTTTCTTAGAAAGGTTTACCTTACTAGGTAAAAGGCAGAGTCTAAAGAAAAGAAAGCCTTTGAAAAACAATGGATAATGATACAATAATAGTAGGGGACTTGAACACCCTATTCACATCGATGGATAAATCATCCAAACAGAAAATCAACAAGAAAACAGTGGCTTTGAATGACACGCACCAGATGAATTTAACAGGCATATTCAGAACATTCCACCCTAAAACAGCAGAATACACACTCTTTAAAGTGCACATGGAACAGTTTCCAGAATAGATCACACATTAGGCCACAAAACAAGTCTCAATAAATTAAAACAAAATCAAAGTCCTACCATGCACCTTTTCTGACCACAACACTATGAAACTAGAAATCAACCACAATAAAAAATTTGGAAAGAGCACAAATACATGGATATTAAATAATATGCTACTAAACAATGAATGGATCAACCAAGAAATCAAAGAAGAAATAAAAAATTACATGGAAACAAATGAAAATAAAAACAATGGTCCAAAATCTTTGATGCAGCAAAAGTAGTTCTAAGAGCGAAGTTGACAGCAATACAGGCCTACAATCAAGACACAAGAAAAATCTCAAACAACCTAACCTCACACCTAAAGAGCTAGAAAAAGGAGGATAAAACCTAAACCAAGCAAAAGGAAGGAAATAATAAAGATTAGAGCAGAAAAAAAAAATGATATAGAAACTAAAAAAATACAACAGATCAGTGAAACCAGGAGCTGGTTCTCTGAAAAGATCAACAAAATTGATAAACCTGTAGCCAGACTCATAAAAAAAAAAAAAAAAAAACAGAGAGAAGACCCAAATAAACAAAATCACTAATGAAAGAGGAGAAATAACCAACACCACAGAAATAAAACTGTAACAGAATATTATGAAAACCTGTATGCCAACAAACTGGACAACTTAAAAGAAATGGGTAAGTTCCTAGAAATATAATCTCCCAAAACTGTTCCTAGAAATTTAATCTCCCAAAACTAAAGCAGGAGGAAATAGAAAATTTGAACAGACCAATTACCAGCAATGAAACTGAATTGAAGTAATCAAAAAACTCCCAACAAACAAAAGTCCAAGGCCAGATGGCTTCACAAGAGAATTCTATGAAACATTTAAAGAAGAGTTACTACTGGGGCGCCTGGGTGGTTCAGTAGTTGGTTGAGCATCTGACTCTTGGTTTGTTTTCATTGTTTTGTTTTAATTAAAGATTTTTATTTATTTATTTATTTGTCAGAGAGAGAGAGAGCGAACACGAGGGAGTGCGCATGCACAAGCAGGGGGAGCAGCAGGCAGAGGGAGAAGCAGGCTCCCCGCTGAGCAGGGAGCCTGATGCGGGACTTAATCCCAGGACCCCAGGATCATGACCTGAGTTGAAGGCAGACACTTAACCAACTGAGCCAGCCAGGTATTCCTGACTCTTGGTTTTGGCTCAGGTCATGATCTTGGGGTCGTGGGATCAAGTACCGCCCTCCAGTCGGTATCCACACTCAGTGGGGAGTCTTCCTGGGGTTCTCTCTCTCCCCCTCTTCCTCTGCCCTCCCCCCACCTGCATGTGCACACTGCTCACTTGCTCTCTAAAACAAAGAAATAAATCTTTAAAATAAATAAATAAGACTTACTATTCTTCTCAAACTATTCCAAAAAATACAAGAGGAAGGAAAACTTCCAAATTCATTCAATGAGGCCATTACCACCCTGATATCAAAACTGGATAAAAACACCACAAAAAACAGAACTACAGGCCAATATCTCTCATGAATATTGAAGCAAATATCCTCGACAAAATATTAGCAAGCTGAATCCAACAATACATTAAAAAAATCACATACCCAATCAAATGGGATTTATTCCCAGGATACAAGGATGGTTCAGTATTCGCAAACAATCAACATGATACATCACATAAGTAAGAAAAAGGATAAAAACCATATAATCATTTCAATAGATGCAGAAAAAACACCTGACAAGGTACAAAATCCATTCATGATAAAAATCCTCTGCAAAGTAGGTCCAGAGGGAACATACTTCAACATAATAAAGACCTTCTATGAAAAATCCACAGACGACATCATACTCAATGGGCTAAAACGGACCTGTTCCCCTAAGGTCAGGAACAAGACAAGGATGTCCAATCTCACCACTTTTACTCAACATACTACTGGAAGTCCTAGCCACAGATAGTAGACAACATAAAGAAATAAAAGGCACTGAAATCAGTAAGGAAGAAGTAACACCCCCACTACTTGCAGATAACATGATAGTATATATAGAAAACCCTAAGGACTCCACCAAAAAACTACCAGATCTGATAAAGTAAATACAGTAAAGTCACAGGATACAAAATCAATGTACAGAAATCTGTTGCATTCCTATACACTATTAATGAAGCAGGAGAAAACGAAATTAAAAAAAAAAATCCCGTTTACAACTGCACCAAAAACAGTATCAAAGAATAAATTTAACCAAAAGAGATGAAAATCCTGTACTCTGAAAACTATAAAACACCGATGAAAGAAATTCAAGATGATGCAAAAAAAAAAAAAAAGGAAAGATGTTCCATGCTCACAGGTTGGAAGAACAAATATTGTTGAAATGTCTATACTACCCAACACAATCTACAGATTTAATGCAATCTGTATCAAAATACCAACAGCATTTTTCACAGAACTACAACAAACAATTCCAAAATTTGTATGAAACTACAAAAGGGGGCACCTGGGTGGCTCATTCGTTAAGCGTCTGCCTTCAGCTCAGGTCATGATCCCAGGGTCCTGGGATAGAGCCCCACATCGGGCTCCCTGCTCAGCGGGAAGCCTGAATCTCCCTCTCCAACTCCCCCTGCTTGTGTTCCCTCTCTCACTTTCTCTCTCTCTGTGTCAAATAAATAAATAAAATCTTTAAAAAAAAAGAAAGAAAGAAACTACAGAAGGCCTTGAAGAGCCAAAGCAATCTTGAAACACTGGAGGTATCACAAGTCTCGATTTCAAGTTATGTTACAAAGTGGTAGTCATTAAAACAGTATGGTACTGGCATAAAAACAGACACATAGATCAATGGAACAGAACAGAAAACCCAGAAATAAACCCACGAGTATAAGGTCAATTAATCTTCAACAAAGGAGGAATAAATAAACAATGGGAAAAAAAACAGTCTCTTCAACAAATGGTGCTGGGAAAACTGGACAGCCACATGCAAAAGAATGAAACTGGACCACTTTCTAACCCCATACACAAAAATAAACTAAAAATGGATTAAAGACCTAAATGTGAGACCTGAAACCATAAAAATCCAAGAAGAGAGCATAGGCAGTTATCTCGGACATTGGCCACAGCAACATTTTTCTAGATATGTCTCCTGAGGCAAAGGAAATAAAAGCCAAAATAAACTAGTGGGACTATATCAAAATAAAAAGTTTCTACACAACAAAGGAAACAATCAACAAAACTAAAAGGCAACCTACTGAATGGGAGAAGATATTTATAAACAACATATCCGATAAAGGGTTAGTATCCAAAATATATAGAAACTTATACAACTCAATACTCAAAAACCCAAAATATCCAAAAAATAATCTGATTAAAAAATGGGCAGATGACATGAACAAACATTCTTCGAAAGAGGACATACAGATGGCCAACAGATACATGAAAAGATGCTCAATATCACTCATCATCAGGGAAATGCAAATCAAAACCAAAATAAGACATCACCTCCTACCTATCAGAGTGGCTAAAATCAAAAACACAAGAAACAAGTGTTGGCAAGGATGTGGAGAAAAGGAACCCTTTTGCACTGTTGGTGGGAATGAAAACCGGCGCAGCCGCTGTGGAAAACAGTATGGAGATTCCTCAAAAAATTAAAAGCAGAACTACTCTAGGACCCAGTAATTGCTCTACTGGGTATTTACACAAAAAATACAAAGAACATGGGGCACCTGGGTGGCTCAGTCAGTTAAGCATCCACCTTCGGCTTGGGTCATGATCTCGGGGTTCTGGGATTGAGCCCTGCATCAGGCTCTCTGCTCAGCGGTGAGTCTGCTCCTTCCTCTCCCTCTGTGCACATTCTCTCTTTCTCTCTCTCTCAAATAAATAACTTTTTTTAAAAAAATAAAAAAACACTAATTCAGAGGGATACATGCACCTCTACGTTTACTACCGCGTTATTTACAACAGCCAAACTATGGAAGTAGCTCAAGTATCCATCGACGAATGGATAAAGAAAATGTGGTATATATCTACAACAGAATATTACTCAGCCATAGAAAAAGAATGAAATCTTGCCATGTGCACCCACATGGATGGAGCTAGAGTGTATAATGCTAAGTGAAGTCAGAGAAAGATAAAATACCATATGATCTCACTGTGGAATTTAAGAAACAAACAAGCAAAGGAAAAAAAAAAGAGCTAGAGAAACAAACCAAGAAACAGACTCTTTTTTTTTTTTTTAAAGAGGGGGAGGGAGAGTCAGGGGGAAAAGGAGAGAAAGCATCCCAAGCAGGCTCCACACTCAGCACGGAACCCAGTGCAGAGCTGGATCCCACAACCCTGAGATCACGACCTGAGCCAAAACTGACAAGTGGATGCTTAACCAACTGAGCTACTCAGGTGCCCCAAGAAACAAACAGTCTTAACTATAGAGAACAAACTGATGGTTACCAGAGGGGAGGTAGGTGGGGGAACGGGGGAAATAGGGGATGGGGATTAAAAGTACACTTATCATGGGGCAGCTGGGTGGCTCAGTCAGTTAAGAGTCTGCATTCCACTCAGGTCATGATCTCAGGGTCCTGGGATTGAGCCCCAGCGGGAAGCATGCTTCTCCCTCTCTCTCCCCTGCTAGTGCTCTCTCTC